GTTTGTCAAAACCCATGTAGTAAATATTCCTTAATACTTAGTTACTAACCTTTTCCAACAACTGTTTCCAACAGTGACACAAAATGCCTGTTCCAAGCAACTGTATTTGTGTCTAAGTTCAACTTTTAAATATTTGTGTGCAGTCTCTAAGATAGCAGGTTCCTGATTTCTACAGCTGAAGTGCTTAGTTCTTACAGTTCCTGTGTTAAGCAGTCATGAGAGATACTTTCTGTTTCAGAAAGGATGTTCTTATTTAATATTAAAGTACCCAATGCTAATGTGGCTACCCTTTTCCTTTCATTCGTTTTACTTAGTTTATTCAAAACTCCTTTCCTAAAGTTACGCTTGTCTACTTCACTGCAAATGTATCATTCTATCTCTTACTAGAATCTCCTCGTTGACTCTGCTTATATATATATTTTTTTGCTTTTCGCTGTCACATTTAACATTCAACTTAATCTTAACGAAGTGAAATCTCAGCTTTAGTTTCTGCTTTACATTTGCCCCTCTTCACACTTACGTTTCAGTCAATGCTCTCACCTTTCTGCTTCCACTGTTTTCTCCCTTACGTTTGCCCCTCCTTTCCTTCAGGTCTTCCTTTTAAACTATTTTTCTGATAGTTGTCTTAGAACTGATAATCTGTCCTATATCCAAACTACTTTTTGATGTGTCTCATATTTTTTTATTGCCTGACTTGGTTTGGATTATGTTGCTTTGAGGTCCTTCACTGAAACTAGGCAGCAGAGTCAGAAACTGTGTGCAAGCCTCCTTTTAAGCTTTCCTGTGTGAAAGCAGAGAGGAACCATGGAAAAAGCTTTCAGGAGCTTGCTATCTGTCCATTTCTGCTTACAAATGGTATGTAAATATGAATTACACAACTATATACAATTTTAGTAATAACTTCATAGAAGTGGAAAAAATTATATATAGGCAATACAGTTGCATGGATGGATTAATATATATAGCTATAGCTAATTAGCTGTAGCTGGCTTTTAGACTGTGCATAATACTCTCGTTTTAAAGCGGAGCACCTGGAGAATGTATTTGAATTGGAAATAGTGAATGAGGTTATGAAGGATAATTTTCTGTCTCTTGGGTGTGCAAGGTACTGTGCAAGTAAAATTTTAATAAATTAGAGCTTGCCAGTAAGCTATGTAGTACATCATTATTTTCTTCATATGAACTTCTTCCTTTATGGAGCAAGATGTAAGTCTGAGGTTTTGGTTCTGAACTGGTAAGGAATTTTAATAATAAAAGATAACTTTAAAAAATAATTGCCAAAATATAATATAAGGCACTGTATTTTATAATATACATTCTTAGAGCAGTTCCTTTACAGTGAATTTGGAGGAGAAAGGAGAATTTGGAGGAGAGGAGAATAAAATCATAGCTGTTTTCTCAGTGTAGGACAGCCTATGGTATAAAAGTGATAGTCTGAATTATATATTTTCTCCCTTTAATTTCTTCTTTAGCTATTAGTTTTCTAGTTTACCGAAAGAATTGCTTATAGTATAAAAGCAACAGTCTGAATCATACACATTCCTACTGATTTCTTCTTTGCACACCAGTTTTTTTAGTTCACTGACAGAATTGCTTATAGTATAAAAGGAATGGTCTGAATCATATACATTATCACTTTAATTTCTTCTTTGGGTATCAATTCTCTAGTTTACAGACAGAATTTTAATTTTTTTTTCCACAAGACGTATTTAAAATTTTTATTTCTACATGTTCCTTCTTCTCTGTGAAGGCTTTATATTGCAAATTGTCACCAAATTAAGATTTAGTTCTCATAATCACGAATCCTTAGGATGATACAGCTTTACTCCATTGAGTTATATATGTATTTTCCTTTTATTCTGTCTTTTTAGATTAAAGGAAGAAGTGTGTGGCAGTTGATTTAGAATAGTGATAGAATACTGTTACTCCTGAATCTTTCAGCTCTTCCAATGTTTCTTTATTAGTATTATGCTTTTACCGAAGTGTATGCATCTATACATAATATAATATAAAAAGATCATAAAATATTTTATCTTAACCTTTTAGTGAAATTATGCTATTTTGGGCTAGTATGTTGGTTAGCATAATGACTGTACCTTCAGTGCCTCCAAAACTTCTGGTGCACTGTTAAGTTTTTAACAATCGATAAAAATATCCAGTAGATTCAGTTACTTCAAAAAATGAAAGTAGATTCTTTGACTTCAATTTGCAATTGTTGGCTGTTTTTTTGTTGGTTTTTTTTTTTTTTTTTTTCCCCACAGTTGGAATAAAAAGATGATTAAAAGAAGTTCTCTTTTAGTAGTTTACATCTATTTACCTGTTTTGGTATTTGCTTTCTCATTCAGGGCTCATTTTCACTAAGCATTCATGACTTTAACTGGAAACAAATACATCTGCAAGTGTTCAGTATGACTGAAAATTAGGAGCTGTATCTTTAAGTGCATTTTATAAAACTAGTTGAAACCTGAACCCAGTGAAAGTAGCATATGTGCTTCTTTTTGATATCATTCTAGTCATAGATTTAGATTTGATGCTGTTCAAGATACGGACAGAGGTTAACTGTCATATGGAACTGCTTTACTCATATTTTGAAGATCCATTTCTGTTCACTCACATAGCTTATGTCCTGGCAACATGACAGGACGGCTTCTTTAGCTAAGAGACCAAACAACATTAGTTTAGGTCAGGCTTCCCTTTCAGAGAACTATTAAACAGAAAATGGTACAAGTCCTGTTGCTTAGTACTCAGGAATAGATCCCAGAGGAGCTGAGATGAACGATCTCAGGTGGCAGCGCATGGAAATACTCTGACAGCCTCACTGAGTTTTTAGAGCACTGTGATGACACATGACCTTTTTCTAGCCAAAGTGGCAGGACTATGTGGCACAGGCATAATTCATCTCATCAGTGGCTGAAAGGAAATAAAGCAGATCTTCCAGGCCAAATTTTGTAAAGAAAAGCTGTAAATGCATCTGGAAATTTAACATTCAGAAGAACTATTATCCACTGTATAATGCTTTGATTATGATTTATTAATTAGTACATTTATTAAGTGTTTCTGCCTGCCTAAAGTAGCAGTAGAGTCCCAGCTGGCATTCTGAGTACTCACTTCGTATATGAGATATTTAACTTGACTATTAACATTTCAATTATGGATTCAGTTTTAAATGTGTATAGTCGTTTTGATAAATCCATGTACTTTTATCTTAACTGTAGGAAAAAAAAAAAAAAACAACACCAAACTGAAATTTGGAAGTATAATGAATGGAAAAAGATAAAAATTTAACGTTATTTATAATAACTTTTGAGAAACTTAATTTTGGTAAACATGTATATGTATTTAGGTCTTTTAGTAGATTGAAGTGATACCATATATTGCAGTAATAAAAACTGTACAAACAGAGAAGCCTAAATCCTCTTTCATTTCGTGGCTGTAAATCAGAATGAAGACCATAGAAATCAGTAGAGTTTTATAAAAGAGTGCAACTCATTTAGATGGGTATTTGCTTTGGTATTTCTTTTAAATACTTTTAAGTGTTTTGAGTAGAGCTGCAGTTCTTTGGGAGAACAGGAAGGATTAGCATAAAAATGATGAAAAAGCTGCTTTTTTTTCTAACAGCGTTATACTAGTTTTCAAATATTTCTACGTCACTGTCTATATTTTAGAATACCTAAGTCAGTAGAAGGAAGAGTGGCTGTTGAATATACTTTTAATAAAGTCTAAGTTCTCCCCTTCTAGAAGGCTTTTGTACTGTTTTCTGAAAGGTTTCATTATCTTGGCTCACAGCTGTTGGTGGTTTCGATTGTGAAGATAAATGTCAGAAATCCAAAGGTTAGTAGGATAATGTGGCTGAAGAGTTAAATGGCAGAATAAATTTAATTTTTAATATATTATTACAATTTTTAAAAATGCATATTTTAAATCAGTTAGGTATTATGATGAATTATTTGTGAAGCCAGGCTATGAGGTAGACTTCACAACTTAAATTGTTTGTCCTTTGTATATTAAAATTCACTTTCGCTCAACTCAGTGCCATTTAAGACGTTGAAAGATTTTACTTATTCATAGTTAAAGATTAAGATAAGGTGAGGCAATGCATAGCCAAAAAACCACCAGAGACTCTGCATTTAAGTGATCTGTATTAAGGTGAGCTTCTATTTGAGTCAGTAACACTTTCTTGAGAAAGAGCTGCTGCCATTGATGTTCATGATGTGCTGATGGCTTGTGATTATTCTGATGCGATATTTTAATCCATGGAGACATTGTAGTATGAACAGAATTATGTAGACATTAAAGCTACATGTACAGTGGCTTTCCACAAATAATTTTGCGGATAAAATTATTTGATTAGTGTTAAAAATATGAAGGATTCAGAATCCTTTACAGAAATTTAGGAATCTATATAGTAAATGGGACCCAATGGTTTATGTTAAACATTGGTCAGGATTGTCTGTTTCAGAAGAGGAAGAGAAGGGAGTTGTGGAATAACTTGACTGGCAAGAAGGCTTTTACTTTATCCTGGAGGGTTGTTGGCTCTTCTGAATAAAGAGAATTAATGTAATTAATTTTATTTTCTTAATGTAAATGTATGTTCATAATCTTGCTATTTGGGGATTGTTGTAGTGATGAGTTTAGACACAGACATTCATTCATAGAGCGCTGATCATGGAACACCTCTAACATAACAAAACCTTTTTATTTTTAGTGACTACATTTAATTTGGGGTGATTGTTTGGAGCTGAAAGTTTATGTATTAAATTATACTTGTATTAAATTGTCTTTGCAGTAGAAGAGAAAGTGGAAGTAGTATCTATAAATGTGACTTTGTCACAAGGTGAGGTTTCCTATGAAGTGACTTTGACAATTGTCAAATAAAATTAAGAAACCACACCAAGACAATACACATGGAATGAAACATGGACGTAGGCACTGGTTTAAGAAGAAATCTGAAACATTAGAAACATTTGCATATGAGTTTTCCTTTCCTCTCCTTCCTGTAGGAAGACACGGTAGTGAACCATTTGGCAGCAAAGATAATTGAAAATGTTTGCAGTACTTTCTCTTGCCATGCACAAGGATTTATTACAGGAGAAATTGGACCTGTCTTGTGGTACCTTTTCACACATTCTGCAGTAGATTCTTTGAAGATAACTGCTATTTCGGTAAGGAATTTCCTTTTGTGATACAGAAATGTTTGGGGGTTTGTTTGGAAAAGCATTCTGAACTGAAATGGAAATGTTTTTGAGCATGTTTTCTGTGTGTATGCGTATTTGTATTTTAGATTACATTAAAATATATTTACAAATTTTCTTTACAGTTCACTACTTATGAAAGGTCCTTGTGATTCATCGTTGTCTGGAACATGTATTTTATTATGTTGGTGATCATGAATTATGTTTGAAAAGTTTAATCTTTCAAAGTATCAATTCTTGCAAAATTGAAATTTCTTTTTTGTATGATGTTTTACATAAGAAGTGTTTATTTGTTTTACTGCAGACTTGCTTAGAAGACATATTTGAAATCATCATGTTGCTGTCTATAAAATTGTTAGGGCTAGTCTTTGCCCTGAATTTGTAAGTTAAGATAGGATGATAACAAGACAGGTAGAGCTATGATGTGAGCAAAAGGTCTGGAACAAAAAGATTTGTGAGATGGAAAGTACTTAGCAGGGCTGTGTATTTAACCATACCTCTTTTTACAAAACAAACACCTTACCCAACAATAAAAGCAATATTTTAGGACTAAACAGCAAGTTGACTTATTTTAAATGAAGTGTGATAACTGGATCCTCATTTCCTGAGTAGAACTTAGGCTCACTATTGAGTTTATTCTTGGCTTCCCAGATGGAAAATGGTAATGTTGCTGCAGCAACAGTATGCACTTAGACACATCTAGCACTGAAGTAAAAAAGAGAGAGAATTAAAAATATATCTGAAGTGTGGCTGAAGAGTTAAATGGTAGAATAAATTTAATTTTTTGTATATTGTTACAATTTTTAAAAATGTGTATATTAAACGCCTCAGTGTGTGTTTGTGGTGGAGTCTTGCCTGGGAAACAAACTGCTTAAATACTGGGAAATTGTGTTGACCTTTTAGAACAGTAAACTTATTTAGTAGAATACGTGTTACCGAAGTCTTTGTTCTGTGACACCTGGAACTTTTTGTAAAAACTTAGTTCTAAAACTTTTATGATAGAGGATTGTCTGTCTCTAAAAATGTAAAATGTATGTGTAACCTCTGTACAGGGCACTTACAAGTTAAGCCTGCTTGTGAGTCTGGCTGGTAGGATGCTTTTTCAGAAAGGCTCTTTTTAAGACTTTATCTATTTGATCTGTTAATTTTATGCTTACATCATGACTGTATATATGGTAAAAGACTGGAGATTAGACTTCTGATTTCCTTTACTTATTGAGTATTTAAACAAGTCTTCTTAGTCCTCTCTCCTATGACTACTTTTGTCATAAGGGATATTTTGTATCTTGTGCTTTCGGTTCTTGTCAATCATTAGACTGGGCAGTTGTTACTCATTTGCTACCAGATCATAGCTCTTTATTTTTATCTCTTTCAACTTGAAGTTTTCCTCCTGTTTCTCTGCTATCCACTTGGAGAACTTTGTTTTGGCATTTACCATTCTGTTGACTCCTACACCAGACTTCTAGAGCTGCTGCGCTTGTAGGGGCCAGATGGACAGTTATGACTGTTTTGTGTGCCACAGTGAGCACAGAGTAACAGTCTGTCTGAACTACATTCAGACACTGAGCAAAGAAAGATCACCAGAGGAAATGTCAATGGGCTGGTTCTTTTGGTGTTTGTTTTGTTTGGAGTTTTTTGGTGTTTGTTTTGTTTGGGGGTTTTTGGTGTTTGTTTTGTTTGGGGTTTTTTTGTTTTTTGGGGTTTTTTTACCCTCTTGAAAAGTCAGTTTATTTTTGGACAGTGTGATATGCTTGAGGTAGACAAGAGCTTACTTTTCAGCAAGAGGCAGACGTTATACTTGTCATCACTGCAGACTTACTACAAATTTTTGTAGCAGTGGGCTCAGAGGTTAGTATCATCAGGACCATATGACTTGCACACTTTGCCTGTAGTTGGGGCTTCTAGTGACTGTAAGAGAAGGTTATTGTTTGTCCCCCTCTATCCTCAGCCTCTTTTGAGGTCTCAGATTATTTGATCCTCCCAGGGCTGTAGGGCTGAGGTGAACCACTGAGAAATCTTTTCTTTGTCATAGTATTTATACCTTGGGTAGCTAGCCTCTCTTAAGTGCTGCTGGAGTTGCCTTTTTTCCATACCAGCTGATGAGAAGAAAATCCTTCTGCATCTTACCTGGAAGGTAGGAAAAAGCATTTAAGAGGAATCTAAAACCTGAAGAGTTTATTGTAGCCTAGTTCACTCTTTTTTTTTTTTTTTTTTTCCCCTTTTTGTGTCTATTGACAGTTACCACTACTTACTAGTCAAGGAGGATTTTTTAATCGCTTAATTCAGTCAAACGGTGCTGACATTTCTGTAGTCCCTTCCAAGTGAGGAGATTGAAAGTATCATAGATTTTGAGTTCTTCAGTTCCTTCACCTCTTGTCACTGCAGCTGTGATGGAGCAACCTGGTCTGTATGGGCTTCTTGCTAAACAAGGGATGTTAAATGCAGTGACATGTATAGTAAGTTGCTGTATTTATACTGTAGTTCAAAATTGAATCACTGGCACTCCTGGGCTGGCAGTCATAAGACTTGCAATGATACTGTTTTTGCCAAGCTATTACGTCCTGATTTTTTTTTTCCTCTTTGTAATGCAAATTCAAATACTTAATTGTCCAAACTTACCAATCCTCAAGAACTGCTCTAGAAGCCCTTATAGATTAGATACGTTAGGACGAAACAGTATGTTTTGATAGCTACAATTACCAGGATTCCCTAGAGAAACTCACTTGATTTGTGAGACATCCTTTCAATGGCAGTTCTTAATCTAACTATCAAAGATGCCTTTTGTCATTCTGTTAACTTTCCTCTGTCAAAGTTCCTTAGCAGTCCATGCTTTAGTGTCGAGGCCAGCTTTTTGGAGATGACCAAGTTGTTTGTGCACACTGAGTTCTGCTGAGGCAAAAACTTCTTCAACATCTTCTACAAATCTGCAGTATAAATGTAGATACGAACAATATAACAAAGAAATAACTGTTTTCAACTAACATTTTTTTTCCTGTGAAGGCAGCAGTCTTACTGGAGATCGTACCTTTCCCTTGGGTAGTTACTGAGATTTTAGTCATGGTGGAGGTAGGGCTTGCTCCAGGATAACATATTGGAGAGCTTTGAGTGAAAGCAGCAGTGATGGGGACTCCAAGAGTAAGTGACAGTTACTCTTCTACATCCGGTCCAACTGCTTTTGTTTCTTGCTTTTCTGGTCTTTGTGGAAATTATTGCTATCTATGTAGCTGATTCCATCTCCTTCCAGACAGATCGTTTCACACAAGTGTGCTTGGGTCTGAATGTGTTCCTGGATTTTCCCCCTCTGCTGTTTTGGGGATCCTGTCCTTTATCAAAAGTCTGAGGTTTAATTATTTTATACCACATATGAAGTGAATTGGACAAGGAGGCTTCTAAAGTAGGATGCGCCAAGGTGGTACTCTAATCCTTTTGCTGCTTTGTAGTGAAACACTAAAGTAACAAGAAGGTGAACTTATTTATTGCATTTTTTACTCAATGCCCGATATAATTGATAGTTATGTATTAATACTGCTGGGGTATTTTGATATATAATCCTAACTTTAGAAAAAAAAAAAAATCCAATCAATATCAAAATCTATTACAGGCAGATCTTTTAGTAAGGGAAATTTACAGAGATTTCAGTGACATACTAATTGTTAAGGTAAAATACTAGTGTATTCTCCAGCTATATTGTACTGTACAATTTCTATGATCATTAAATTGTTGCTATGTATATGTAGGCTTTTTTTTATTGTGCATGACCACAAAAATTGAGATCATCAGTGTCCTATTGTATTTTATTATGCAGTCATTCCTGCCTTGTTTGAATGTATCCTGAAGAATTTCTTCTTGACTGACATCTATATTCACATGTAGAAATAAATTTCTGTTAAGAAATACATGTGTCATATCTCTACCTAGAGCTAGCAGTCTGTCTGCAAAGTATATCAGCAGTAAAGCACTATGGAATTTTACTTACAATTATTTCAAGCAATAATAAAAATGTATCAAGAAGATTCTCTGTCTTCAGTCTCTGGAGTCAAGAAATGACACTTTACCTTGTCCTCCCTGTCAGAGATGGCAAATGGGGACTGTGTCTTAGTCTTTTTGCTCACTTTGGAGTCCAACATGCCTCAGGTAAATATCACATATTTTGCCTGTAGGAGAGCTATATCTTTTTATCATTTTGCTAGACTCGAAGAAGAAATAACTCTGTAAGATGGCAAAGTGACATTCTGACAAGTTCAGCAGCAGGAAGACTATTGTCTTTCCAGTATACTGAAAGTTTTTTAATTTTTTTAAAAATAATTTTTAATTTTGTTTCGAAGAGATGGCTTTTTCTGCTGGAGGATGAGTAACAAAACGTAAGCCACTGAAGTGGAAACTAATTTGGGAAAGCTCAAAACAGTCTTTTGGAAATTTTTCTGTTTTGTTTGTGGTTTTGCATTGTGTGTGTGTGGTTTGATTTGGTTTTTTCTCTTAAATAATTGGTGCTGAATGGTTTCTTTCTGAGACTTGGGTGTTGCAGATACATTAACGTATTCATTCTCAAACTTGAGAGAGTCATGGAGTACATCCTGAAAGGGTAAATGTTATCTAGTCACCCTATGGCATATAAGACCGGAAGGCAATGGGTAGGGCAGAGATCATGAAATCAGAGAATATCTCAAGTTGGAAGGGAACGATAAGGATCATGACACTAAGGTTGGAACTGCTGGGGGAAAAGGTGTTGGTTGAGACTGTGGGGAGAGCAAGGACAAAAAAGCCGGTTCCAGGAGAGGCTCTGCCAGTGCCTTACTCTCACTGTGAGCATTTCTGTTCCAAGACGGCTGAAGATGGCTACTAAGAGATGATGGTGTGAGCTCTGCTCTTACCTTTTCTCATCATTAGTTCCCAGTTCCTGCTCCACCACCTTTTGAACTATCTCTGTCTGTTCTCTCCAGATACTGGATCTACTAAACTGATTTAGATACTTTGACTTCTATCCTCCATTAAACTCTATCTTCTACTTCTCTGCTGAAGTATTGGTTTTACTCATACAGCAGAGCGCTCTGTGATACACAAGCTGATGGGAGTTTAAAGCTTCTGCCCTTGGCTGTTGGTGGGCTGGAGCTTTCCTGCTTTCTCAAAATCTGCAGTATGAACCTACAAGACAGCCATGTCTTTCCTACCAGATTTGCCTGGAGGTCATCTGATGACCTGTGGCTATGGTCACCCTTGTTTGATGAGTCTGTAGCACAGAGCTAAGGCATTGGCAAGTCTGCATACAGCACATTAGCACACCAAGTTAGCTCCATGTTACTTTGATGCAGTCTGTCCCTCAGTCCCAGTAGTTCACTGGTAATATGACTCTTGAGGATGTGTTTAGTGAATGCATACCTGCTGCCTACTCATTTTGAGAACTCGGGCTAGAGGTAAAGGGCTCGTTTGTGTCCTTGGGAAATAGAGCACGCTGTACTAAGAAACTGAGATTGAGTGTCTGTGCTTTAAAAGCGGGAGTGGGAGGAGGAGAAGAAGAAAAATAAAAGACTGCAGTCAATATGGTACCTGGACCAGAAAGGACAAGGAAGAACAGGAGCAGAGTAAATGAACAGTGTCAATAAAATGTCTGTTTAAAAATCCTAAGTTCTTGATTTATACTCTTCTATGCCTTCTTTTTATGCCCTCCTTTTTTGTTTTAGCATGTTTTGAGTGATGTTTCTAAGGGCACTGGTGAACTGAGCAGTTCCTGAGGTTCTTGTATGGAAAATTTTTCTCTGGTGATAGTACTCTGTGGGTTTAATTGACTATAGGTTCTCTTAAATGAGATCTCGCTATTGAATGCACACCAAGTAAGCAGCAATTTCTAAATATAGCTGGTCTGAAGAGAACAAAGAGTGGTAATATTACTTACTTTTCATAGAAGAAAATTGCCTTCAAAGTTTTTCCCTAAAACAAATCCAGATTTTCACGTGAATCAAATAATTGACATAATCTGATTTCCTATTCTAACACTACATTCAAGCCAAAGAAAATGAAATATTAAATGTCTAGAGAGTCTTATTTTCTTTATCTGGAGAGAACAAAAGCAGTTACAGTGTCTTGAAGGTTGTTGCATTTCTAGAGGTATCAAAAGGAAAAACTCTGACTTGGAGATGTATCCACCCCGGAGGTCATTTAGTAATGTCTGTTATGAACTAGCTAAGTTGTTATACACTGAACAGATTTGTGCTTGTTTCACTAGAGCACAATTAGTATCTGCATCTTCTGTTAGAACTGTTTTAATCACTGCTATTTGTAAGTCAATCATTTGGAGAATAGTTTGCAATATTAAACACTGTTCCTTAAGAAGTGTCTAGAGCTAAAGTAGTATCTAGATAATAAGATGGACTTTAGATAGTGGGCTACTGCATACCAGATTATGGTCCACGAACAGAGAAAGAAAGAGACAATTTCATGGGTGACCAGAATTTCTGTGGTGTGTGCTATCTCTGTATTTTCTGCTGCCTATGCTCCTTTGTAGTACCTATGTTCTGTGATGATTTAAAACATAAGCATGGACTATGCCATTCCATCATTATTGTTCTCTAGAAGGAAAGAGTAATGTGACCCAGGTTGATGTTGCTGTACCAAATATTTCAGTTTCAGCTGCATGGAGTGTGTAGTAATACATTTAGAAGAATTCTAGTTCTCTAAAAATAATTAGCCTTTTCCACTAATATTTGTCTTATGAATGAAACTGTATGAATTTTCTGTATTCCTAAACTATTGGAAAAATTGCTACTTGTTTTTATTCTCTGTTATTTTTCTTGAGTTAATAATCCCTTTAACAATTTTTTTTTAACTTTTGTAGGCTTTGTGCAGAATTACTCGTTACTTACCTAATGCTTTCCAGAGTGTCATTGAAAAAGTGGGGTTAACAGCTGTATTAATTTCCTTGGCAAATGGAATATGCAAAATTCAGCAGTACATGCTCACCATGTTTTCGGCAATGCTATCATGTGGGATTTATCTACAGAGGCTGATTCAAGAAAAGGTTTGTTTTCAGCTTAATATTGTTCCCTGGCATGGAATTTCACCAGTGGAAAGTTAAAGCTGGCACTGGTAGTGTTTTTGTGTCTTCAAAGTGCTTAACTTAGTGACACTTACATATCTGGATAGCAGGAAAAGAGGAATGTATTTGTTTTATTTGTTTAAAATCTAAATAATGAGGTGTATAGTTTTTCTTTCTCTTTCACAAATCTTGAGGAGATTGTATTAATGGGGTATATAAATGCTTCTGCAGCTAGAATTCAATCAATTCAGGAAACTCTAGCCTGACCATAACTGATAATGGCCCAAAGGAAGAACAATAAGGAATGGATGAAGACAGCTATTTGACATAGCTCTCTTAGACATTTAAAAGAGAAAATGATGAGTGTCCTGACTGAATCTAAAGCTGTACTTTATGCTCTCCTTAAACGACCTTAGGCCAATTTGTAAGTGAAATGTCTTGCAGAAATTAGCATTTTAATAACTTAGGTTTTCTTTTTGATGTCACTGAATAAAAATACTGGTTCTGATTTATGTCTAATCTAATTTTTGGAAGAGATGATTAAAGGCTTTCTGTTTTGATCACCAAATTATTCTGTGTTTAGAAAAATAGTGTTTATTTTTTTGGCAGTAAGTCAGCACAATTCATGAGCAGAAGTAATCCCCCTCTCCTTGGAAAGGATAAAAATCACAAATAAAATAGGAACCCTGGCTTGTGTTTTTATCAGATGCTCTGTTGTAATGTATGCTGTAACCTGACAGTCATCTTGACTATAACAATCTATGAGGCTTTAGTTAAGAGAGATGGATTTTGTTTCCCTACAATTAACAGCAATGTTTAAATTAAAAAATAATCTAGGATTTTCCACCCATCTCTTCCTGCAGCCTGAAATCACTCATTCTCTTCCTAAAAGTTATTCTGTGCCTTGTTAGAATTGCCAATGTGTTTTTGTAGATGCGTGTCAGCTGGCCTTAAGCTTTCTCTAAATTCCACTACAGCAGCAATAACAGGTGGCAATTTGTCCTGTAATGTTGCGGTTTCTACTAGTGCACATTCCTGTGAGTTGGTGGTATAGTCAGAGAAGTATATTAAAAAATATTCACTTGAATATTCAGCGAAAGAATGGAACGTGTAACAAGTGTATGGCTACAGCATGATGTTTTGTGTGAAAAATGTGTTTATATAGGACTTACATTGCTAAAAGGACTCTCTGATACTGCAGTTCTTATGAACTATTTTAATAATTTTTTTGACATTATAAAACTCTGAAATTCTTCCCCTAGTTACAGGAAAATAGAAAGTATTTTGCTGGCATGCAGTACAGTGATGGCTGAAACTTTGTGCGTTCAAAATTGCTGCCTAATCATTAATGAATTATCATAGTCATAGGTGTTTTGTAAACAAGTGTAGCAATTTTGCAGATTAGTAAATTGGAATATGGATAAATACAGACATTCTTTTAGCAGTGTATATCAAACTAATGATAGAAGTGGAAATAGTGTCCAAAGCTGTAACTGAAAAAACATTGTACTATAAAAACTGGTAAAGAGGGTCTAGTTCTACTGCATGTGCCCACACTTGGTAACTGTATCTGCCTACAGCTCAGATAAATCTGTATCTCATAAAATGTCTATTTTGCTCAAATTGGATTGTAGGATTTTTGAAGCAGAAACCAGATTTCTACTTTTCTTGAATAGGATCTAAAAACAATCCTGCTCCTGAATTAAACTGCCAGGTACTGTCACATTACACAGAGTAATAATTTCTTGCTGAAAACTGAATTTACTAATCCACATACTTTTCAATATCCTGTGAGCATGACACACAAGTCCACCTTAATGAAAGAAGGGAAAAGAAACAAAACAAGTGAGTAGTACACAAAGTATTTGGCCCTCTGTAGAATTCTTGTATACTATAGCTTAAGGGGCAGAAGGGCCTCAGTGTTATACAGAAGGTAGTGACAAGGTTATGACTGTCTTAATACAGCAACAAACCAACATATTAAAAGATGCTTGAAGATATAAATTTAAGATGGAGATCATTTAACTTTGTATGTGTTATCTGGAAACTGCTGTAGCTTACAAGACTTAATGCTGCTCTTGTTTTCTACTTCCTTCAAGAACAGTGATAAAACTATTTACAAAATAAAAGCCAGAAGACAAAGGAGAAATGCAGTTTTGTGGTCGTCTACGCCAGTATAAAGATTCAGAGAACTACAATAGCTAAAAGGGACTGGGTTTTGTCCCTCTGTGATACAGACCACTTTTATTTGTTTCTTGTCTTGGAAACAAAAAAAGCTGAAATGCTTTTAAAATAAAGTGTGGAAAAAGAACTCAAAATCAAAAATCTTTGACTCACTATAGCAGTAGATAAAAAACCCATTGTTAATGACGTTCATGTGGCTGTCAAGATTCACCTTTGAATGAGTGAAAACCAGTCATGGAACTTCTAAAATGCAGTTAAGTTCTTCCAGAGGTCAGATAATGGAGTGGGGTGTTGTTTTGTTTTGGGTTTTTTCTCAAGTACTAATAAGTAAAATTATTCAGTAGTTACAGCAGTACATTGTGATACAGCATTGTTTCTTTGCTTCCCTGCATCACTGGTGTGGTCGCTTTTTATCATGATCACATCCAATTATGGCAATGAAAAAATGCAGTATAAATGCATTACAAAAGTTGTCCTCATGTTTCAGTCACTTTTTTCGATTCTTTGTCTCTTACCTGAATGTGGACAAGTAGCTACCTCTGCTTTTGTCAATATCATTATGAATTAATAAAAAAATATAAATGTCTTTAACAAAATCTTTGTAACTTAACTTATAGTGTGCAGGCATTTGCAATTCATAGAAAGGTAATTTGAAAATACACAACAATACAATAAATAGTTGCTATCACAACTTCAGTTCTTGTATAGTGAAATAGTGGTCTAACTGTTTTCCCCTTGTGTAGCAAATTTGAAAACGTGATTGCTTTTTGTGGTTTCTTTTAAACTTGTTCGCTTGCAATGAAAAGAGTGTCCTTACCCTGCAGTGTCTCCATGGATACATCAAACAGTTGCAGAGGAGGGAAGAACAAAATAACACTGAAACAGTTAATAATTAATGTATTGGACAGTATTTCAGCAATTTTTGGCGTTTCTGATATATTGAGTTCTTCAGGTCAGCAAAGATGTGCTTCGGATTTTCTTTGGATAAACTGTTGCTGTTTTGCAGTCCTTAGACGAGCCAGAAAAGCAAATTCTAAAATGTCACATTTATTTCTTAAGACAAATTATTAGAACATTCCCAATTAAGTCTGATGTAACTGATTTTAATTGACAATATTGTCTTAACCTGTGGTAACCCCCACATGTAGCATCGAAATATTCTTGTTTTCAGGAGCATGAGGACTAAAAATCGTCAGATGTGCTTTGGCTTGTAGTTGCTGATGTGCTTTGTCATGGTGTCCCTGTGGTCTCTCAAGTCCATTTATGTTAGCAGGCAGTGATGCATTATATATACTCTTTTGCTCAGTCTGAGACTTCACAGAGTTTCTTAAACTAAACACTTTTTTGGTTGTTTGGAGTAATTTCATAAGAAAAAACCTGAACCCCCAGGAAATTTCACTTTATTGAAATTTCAACCTTTGCTTTTAGTAAATTATAATTTATGAACTTTACTGCTGCCGGTTCATTCTGGAGGGGCTACAAATCGTGTTCCATGAGCTGTTGAAGTGTTTGAAGCAGTGAACTTTACACAGCTTATGCTTATTAACCACAAAGTTGAGGAACTCTTCTTTTTAGGAAACAAATTACAGAAATACGACAGAACATTTCTAGAGTAATTAGTAAGTTTATTTTTCTGGTATCTCTGTAGTTACTATCTATGCTAACTGCTTTTGAAGACAATTTTAAAATGGTATCAGAGTAAAATCTGGTGGTTTGTTTGCCAACACTTACGCTCCTGTTCCTTCTACCAGTCTCTGTAAAAAGGTATATTTATTTGTTGTGATAGTCCCTCTAAACTGCATTGTGTAGATTTTCAGTTTTATGACAATGAAGTTGCCTTTCAATTATTCTGTCAGCAAAAGAGGGAATTTGAATAACACTGGTATGTTAAATGTGCACCACAATTTAGGATTTTAAACTTGTACGCTACAGGCAGGCATACAGTACACACCTCTTTATTCTGCAGTGTACTCCCTTCAGAATCCAGCCTAAATGTTTGAAGGTATTTTCTGTTGATGAGGTAATTTGTGCTTAGTCTAATTCTTGGATGGAGCAAATCAGATCAGTTTGTAAATTCTGTCTCAGTTTTTAATTCTGATTTTTTTGTTGGGTTTATTTTTTTTTGGATAGAGAGATTTGAAGTAGGCTTTGTGTTTTCAGAACAAGGCATTCTGGTTAAGAGCCGATCCCAAAATATCATTGCTGCTGCCAGCAAGGTCATTTTTGAAGATTTTTTTTTTCTTTTTCTTTTTTTTTTTTTTCTCTCTCTACTGAATAGCCCAATTGGTCTTCATAGAAGAGCAGCACATGAGTAGCAGATACTTTTATTCCTTAGAGGTAGAGGATACTCCATTTTTTTTTTTTTTTTCTTTTTTGGCCTCTGGTTCTTCAGGAGTTACAACACGTTGTTGGGCAGAGCCTAAATGATCCCCATCTTGTGCTTTTTTTACAACTCATAATACCTAATTCTGTTATTCATATGAAGGTGTTTATTATAATAGAGAGCATCTGTCACTTGTTAGTGGCCGGCCCAGCCCTAACCTGTGACGTAGCACTTTTTTCCTTCCACTGATTCTCAGCTTTATTCCCTTGGAAGCTGAGGCAGTACACATGAATCTATCATCTTTCTGCATGTCAGGCCACATTCCAGAAACTAGAGAAGATGATCCTTTCAATACACAGGGTGTAATAGAGACAGAGAGAAAAAGCAGCAAGCTGTGATTAAGAATCCAGTCGGCTAACCGTTGTTAAACTTTTGAAGAGAAATATTTTGTGGCTGTTCTTTATTTCTCACTATCCTTGTTAAACCTTTTAAATTACTCTTTCAATTGGGTTTACAGGAGGGAAGGAGTTAGCAAGGAACTTAGCATCTTGTAAATTGACTTCATCATAGGAATGGAGAATGGTCAGTGGATTAGGAAAGTCATGGCTCCTTACTGCTTGTGGTTTATCCTTTTTCTTTCTTTCCAAGTTTAATTCATGTTGTTCCTTGAAAAAGTGTTCTTCATGTTATGAACCCTAGATAAAATTAGTTTAGATAAGAATAATCACAGAAAGTAGAACAGTTTTGCCATGTATTTGGAGCATCTGTTCTATAATTCAGGATCTGATGTAGGCATGATGGTATCCAACAAAAGTGTTGCTTTTAATCTTCCTGCATATTTATGAATTAATAGGTAAACATTTAATAATATTTGTGATGAAATATTTACATATTCTGAAAATCCTTCAGTCTTCTTTCAAAATAAATATATTAAAATATCTTACATTTATCCTTAAGGTAAGACATTTTAACATGTAAGTTCTATCATACTTTGTAGTTCATTTTGTGTCATTTTGGACATAGTACATTAGATAACGTTTACTTCTTTCAGCTCTTGAGAAGATGTACAAAGCAGCACTGGGCCATTCTGTCTTGGACAGAATTTATTTAGTAGTGTTTTATGGATGGTTGTTTTTTTCTAGGAGTGACATGAAAAGTACCTTACTAATACAGAATGCACATGAAAATGAGCAGGTCTTAAATGTATATAGCGTTAAAATGCAGTACAAGTAACCTTTTCCCAAAAAATATTAACGTATTTGTGTTTATTTCCACTAAGGATTTTGTGACTACAGTTACTCGTTTACTTGAAAGTCCTTCAACTTTTATTCGAGCAAAAGCCTTTCTGATCCTTCTACAAGTTTTAATTAATAACAGGGAGATGTTGCTACTCAGTTGTCAAGCAAGGTAAGGTGATAATAGAAGATAATTGGAGACGTAATAGTTATTTTCAAAGTTGTACCTGAAATACTTCAAAATGTGTGGGTATTTTTGAGCCATTTAGGAGTGAACTATTTTCTGTGTAATGTGAATCCTATTATTTATGAGAGTGTTTTCTTTTGTCTGATGTGATGATTACTCACAAGGGGAATCCACTGTCTTACAGGGAGAGTCAGTCTTTTAAAGTATCTTGTGGTCCCAGTGGGCATTTCAGCAAGGAGCAGATTTCGCTTTGGGCAGGGCAAAATAAGTACTGCAGCAGTGAGTTGTTGCTATGGTGGGAAAGCAAAATAAAAAGGTGTGTTGGGCACCTTCTTCATTTTGGGGTATGGTATAATCCATAGTCTTTTCAGTGTAGGAACATTCAAGGTAAAATGGTATTTCTTGGCTATATGTGGTGTTGGAGTGATTTATACAATGACCACTGAATTCCTATGTCTTTTGCATGAAACATTTTATTTGTTTCTATGTTTTAAAGTACTTTGCAAGAAATGGCTGCTCTAAAATTATGTTTGACTCACGGTGGAATAGTTGTTTGAATTTTTGATCTTCTGATGGCACAAAACCATTCATGTATCAGACAAGAGGAAATTAGGGTGTGTTAGAATGTAAATTGTCACCATGTTGTGGGGGTGACTGGAAAAGTAAGATGGAAGAAATTGTGTTTGGGATTTATGTCTTCTACTGTTCATTATGAAGAACAGCAAAATGTAGTGTAAACCCAGTTTTTTATGGCATTGGAGTAAAGCAGGTTTGGAACTGAAAGTAAGAAGGGATGTGGCTTGTGGGTAGCTGTAAATCTAACTACCTTTACAGCAAATATAACTTTATATCTTATGTTGATGTTTGAGAAGAATTAAGATGCATGCAGGGGAGCTAAAGGGCTGGATTGGAAGAAAGTGCATTATACCATGAAGCTGTTGTGAGAGGGCATCCTGTGGGTGCTATTGTTATGTACCACTCCACTCACATGCAGATCTGTAGATGGCTAATTTTTGCAGATCATAGAGAATAGTACTGAATTCAAGTTTCTTTTTCAGATGTGTCTTTATATACTTCCAGAAGTGTTCTATCAGGTGATGTGTTCTGTTTAGCGTAAAATGTCTCTAATGATTTGTAAGTGACTTTTTGAACAGTTACATTTTAATGACTGCTTCTATACATATGCTTGTTAGAGCACTTCGAACTGAGCTGTCTGGACAAATGTCCGACGGAAGTCCTGTACTGACAGTTACTATTCGTTTGTTTATACCTAAGGTATTGGGTGAAGGAGAATAATATTTTTTTATCAACAATTTGATCTCTTTATTTAATCCTTTTCAATGTGCAGCCTCTCTGAAGAGGATGTGTTGTGAATTTGAGATGTTATTTTGTATTGTGAATTTTGGCTTTATCCTGCTGATTAACTGATAGAACATGCTTTTAAAAAATTAACTCCCTTCCCTCCCAGCAATGAAATGACTTATGTTGAAGACTATTCAGCCTACTTTAAGTAAAACTTAAACAGATCTAAATGTATTTCCATATAGAAACAGATGATTATAAAATCATGGAAGTATTTTCTTATTTTATATAAGAAAAAAATCCATACCAATGCTGATCTTTTGTCACGTCTTTGTTCAAAGTTAAACTGGTTTTGAGTAAAAAATAATTAGCTGTCTGGAAAGGCTAGAGGGCTTTACATCCTTTTAATTGAAAACATTTTTTATATATATATATAAAAAAAACCTTAAAGCAATTTTAAGGAAAATTCTATTTGAAGTATAATGACAGATTTTTAAGTAGTTCTCTTCTATCAGATAAATCAAAATTCCTTGGAATACAATTTCTAGAGATTGCAAGAAAAATGAAAGATGTCGCCGTAGTTTGTGGGAAGTATAGCTGAATGTGTTGCACCTGGGCTATTGCAGAGGTGAAGGGTAGTTACTGAATGGGTCTTTTGATCATTCTTCAGTAGTTTTTTATTTCATTGAGTAATTCGGCATTTTGATGGAAATACACACTTCCTAGAATAAAATTTTGTGTTTGTGAGTCCTGCAGTTTTCTCATGTATACTTGGGGCTGTTTAAATAAGTTATTTTTGTGCTTCTATAAAAGAACATTGATTATAAGAAGGGTATAAATAAAACCAAATAAACCAGAGGTATTACTGAAGTACATTCTTAAAATCCAGAGCATGGATTTCGCTCATCAGTGACTGATGGCTCTTTGCACCGGGCCTCCAAGGAGTTCGAATATGAAACAAAGATGTCAATATTATGCCTCTAAAGGGAAGTCTGGCCCTTCTATCTATTCGAATGAGCATTTGAAAATGTTGCCCGGAGCATTGTGTTACAGGTGTATTATTAAAGCAATCTCTTGTAAGTTAGCCAATGGCTGATAAATCAGTTACCATAGTTCACTGTGAAACATCATTCTGCAGAACGACGTGGCTGCAGAGCACTTATCAGTTAGAATGTAAGCGTCGAGTTTGTCTTTAGAAATCTGGAACACCAGGTTTCTGGAGAAAGCATGTAAGGCTACTTTGGACTTTTATCTCTTTCAATATGTCCATTCTAACTAGTGCTAACATTTTGAGAGGCTGTAGTGTGATTTATATAGTGCAATTTTTCTTGACAGAAAGATTGATCTCTTGTTACATTGACTTAAATTATTCTTGCTTTTGGAATTATTTAATGTTGAAAATGAATGTCTTTAGTCTTTCGCTCATATTGCACATATTGGTCGTATATTTCAAAATAAAATGGATTTTAAAATTAGTCTTTCTAAGTCTGCAGAGGGATTCACTCCTTATGGTAGCATCGTATATTCATTTAAACTACTGGGGCTGCGTGCACTTACAGTAGCTTAATGGTTTCTTTCTCCTTGTTCCTTGACTTGGCCATTTGTGTTATCTTTAAAATTGATTTATTTGAAAGGTAAAGTCTAAAATTTCAACAAACTAAAAGAGCCAAAACAAATGTATTCTCGATTGTAACCACAAATACTAGAAATGTCAGCTTCAGTAGTATTTTTGAGATATAGTCTAGGTTTTTTGTTATGAGAGGTAATGTTTTGCACTTGCTTAAATGTAGACTCGTGATGTATATTGAAAGAGACAGCAGAAAGACCATGCCAGGAAAAGAGCAGCAAGGCGGCAGTGAATACCTGTCAAAATGTCTGGATCTTCTCATCTATCACATTGTGCAGGAGCTGCCAGGAATTCTAGGTAAATTCAGTTGGTTAACTGAACAAATCTCACCTTTGCTTTACTCCCTCGAGAAACAAGTGTCTTATTATAGATACAGGTGAAAAGACTGTATTGTCTGATTAGGTAAAGTTTGCATATCAACTTGATGATCTTTTTTAGTTATGTCATGATGAGGTATTTGTTATTGGAATGCATGATTTCCTGTATTTATGTTCTGTATTTGTGGAATAGTAAGCCCCATCAACTCAATCAGGAATGAGGCCCAAACATACAAGAAGTTTTATCTATGTTCTAAAGATACTACGAATACTGAAGAAAAAAAAAAGGCAAATTTGCCTTATAAAGCACAGAGCTAGGAGAGATGCAACAGGGCATATCTGTGAGTACGTGTTAATCACTTACAACTTTCAGTGTATGTTGAGTATTGCTTCAGGCATTTTTCTGGAACATTTCAGCCTAGATACTACATGTCCGAAACTGATTTGTTCATGCATAAGAAAAGATGGAAAGTTTTTCTCTGAGAGAACATAAGTGCTACCTCAACCTATCCCTTATACTTAGGAATAAGAACATGAATTGTAGAATAGTTTAGTTTGGAAAAGACCATTTGTACAAAAGAAATAGATAAAATCTTGAGAAATTAAGGAGGATCTCTTAGTGAGATTTGAATATAGGGTTGATATTGAATAAAAGAAGTGTCACAGGAGTTATCCTAGATAAGTAAGAAAAGTGAGATAAACAGAGATTTTCTTGGATAAAGCTGTGTTACATGTTTTATGAGGAAAGATGAGGTTTTTATTTGAAAAGTTAATTAGGAGCAAGTGAAGGAAGAAAGGAAAGAAGGGAAGGAAATGGAATTAGATAGGAAAGGGAAGAAGGAGGAAGGGAAGTAGGAGGAGAGGGAGAGAGGAAGGGAAGAGAGGAGGGTAGGAAGAAAAGGAAGTAAGGTGGGGAGAAGGGAGGGAACTGAGTGGAGGGAAGGGTGGAGGGGGAGAAGGGATAGAGAAAGGGGGAGGGGATGGATGGGAGGAAAGAGGGAGAAGGGAAGAAGGAGACAAGGAGGATAGAAGAAGAAAGTATGAGGTTGGTGTGGCCAGGTTGAATCATGATTAAATTTCTTATTAAAACTTCTGATGGGTGAGATCTTCCACAGAATAGAGCAAGAAAGCTAAATAGGAAGACAAGGAAGGAAATTCTGTGAGTATTCGAGAAAAGAAAGGGAGCAAAACCAACCCTAGTTGTGTATGTTTTCTCATTAAATGATAAAACATTTTTTTCATAAAACTATTTTCTGATGAGATCATACCTGATTTATTTTTCATCTTCTCTACATTATTGCTAGAATATCAAAAATGAAATGGTAGCACTGTGAAGGTCAGTAGACCTGAATGTCATGCTGCTATTTTAAAAGAAACTTTACTTCCTATGACAATGAACATTTTTACCTTGCTGTGCAAATACCTGATCCCTTTTTTCTAAATAAATATCTAGTTCACATGTATTTCAGGATTTGGAAGTCTCAGTCTGTAAATGTTTGAGGCAGAAGTTCATCTGCTATTGTCTGTACGTACTATATGCAACTAATATGGTAGGACCTGATTTTTCCTCTAAACCCTAAGGAACTATACATCAAATATATAGTTACTATGATTATAATACGTAATTCATCAATTGCTTTAACATGTATTCTGCTAGGTTTTTTACTACCAGTATCCAATTTCAATGAGTTGTTGACAACTAATATATCAAGCATAATTTTTACACTTTGTTTTCCTTTCCAAGCTGGATTTGTGTGTTGATTGTTTTTATTAAGATTAAGCTATAAGCAATCAGTCCATATTTGTCCACATTTGTGAGAAAGCTTTTTCTTTTTGTTGCTTTGAGTATGATGAAGGAACATGTTCTGCTTGAGGAGGTAAAAGCTATGGGCTGCTAAGCAAAATAACCAGATTTGCAAACTGGAACAGTTAAAAGCAGTATAACTGTTGATTTAGAATTAATCCTAGCTGGCTTTTTAAGTATGCATTTATGTAAGCTCCTTACTCATCCCGTCTTCTTCCACCAGATGTAGCTATAAACCAGATAGATTAAGAAGTTGTAGAAATTTGCCTTAAAGATACATTTAAACAAATGAAATAAGTTGTTAATCTTGTGGATAATTTTAAAAGCATCTGGTTGTAGGTGAGAAAGTAATTTTATTTCTGTATTTATAATATTATAACCTGTTTCTAGGAAGTAGATATAAATTGCTTAGATCATGCTAAAAATTGAAGTAACCACATCCATCTATTTATCAACTGCAAAATTGGCAAATGCGATGATTATATAGGCCTTAAAACAGGGAGAGTAAATTGTTCAGTAAATTACTTGTTGTTAACCACAGAGAGATCTTGTTGAATTACAGTCTTGTGAGTAATTCAAACCAAAATATGTGGATGAAACCCCAATATTTTGGTTTATGTATTTGGAGAGTTTTAGACAACATTTTCTTGAGCAGTGTATTGTAGAACAAGTCAAATCTTTAAGGCTACGTATTTTTACAACCTACTTTAGTGCCAGGCTCTGTGATTTCTGCTTAAGTTGAAAATTGAACTCCATGGGAGCAGAAGAAAAGCATTGGTATTATTCAGCATGAATAAAGTCTGTGACTTACTCTGAAAGGAAGGGCCTTTTCTGGCTTGAAAAATCGTATAAAATACTGAATCCCGTCCTTTATTTGTTTGATGTCTATGTGATTTCCCTTTTACAGTGAAGCACTCTCATTAAGGGAAAAAAATATAAGTGCTCTTATGAGAGAGGATTTGGCTTTTTAATATTTCAGGTTATAGGGACAGAATTTTCATTCTTTGCTTATGAAACATGACTTTTCCATTCTTCATCCCATGCAGAAGAGGTCTTGCTTTTCTGAGACGATGGTTAATATAAGACAAATTTAGTATAATATTCCTTGATTTTTTTATATGTGCCCTCTTAAGTATAGCTTCCACTATTGCAATTAAAATTTTTTTCACTCATTATTGTGTCTGGGGTTTGTTATGGAGGCAACTAAGTTCTCTGTTTAACCTGCTGCTACCTCTTTTATGAGGTGGTGAGAATTCCTGTTGCTTTAGTTCACTTGTGTCATTGTTAAACTTGTGTATGAGAATGTGCCTGTGCATGGCTGGTGGAGGGATCTCTTGGAAGGAGGGGGGAGGATGTTTGTTTCTTTTTTCCAGTGGTACTGTGCTGCAAGGGAAATGTACTGCTTGAGCGTTGTGTCACCTGCTGATCATGTTGAATTCAGCTCTTGGTCATGAGAATTTTGCTTTTTATTTCACTAGAAATAGAATTGCATCCATAGAATTTCAAGAGTATATATCCATACATATGTAGCCGCCTAAAGACAGTTTAAGTCCACCCTGCCAAGAGGAGTAATTTCATCTTTGCTTCTACACCTGCCTTACATTTCGGTCCTCACCACTTTGCCAGAGGTCACATTTATGCACCTGTCCCTGTAGCCAGAGCAGGAAATTGGCCTGGCTGAACACTGAGCTAGGGAAGAAAAGTGCTGGATCAGCCTGATTTATCATGCAGTCACATGAACACTACTTTTCGGCAGGAGGGAGAAGACGGGCTTGAGCAGAGAATACTGGAACAGAGATGTTCTGTATGTCGTTTGCTGTTGTTTTATAAAGCAATGTAGTTACATCAGTCTGAAATGTTGTTTTCTTAGGCGATATTATCACTGCCTTAACAAATGTCTCTGGACGTAAACACCCATCAACAGTTCAGGCCAAACAGCTGAAGATGTGCCTGCCGATGATGCCTGTAGTGCTTCATCTTGTGACATCCCAGGTAGATTTTTATTTCCAAAAAATTATTAAACAAAGGAAAAACTTTTGCAGTTTCCCAAAATCTAATTTCTGCTGATTGTGATCAGAATGGATAGAACAGAACTGTTAACTAATGTGTAGAGGTGTTGATGAGTACTGTAGCTATGTAACAGCATTAAAGATGTAAGCCTTATTTTTGCATATTGTAAGACAACTCGAATGACAAAAGCAAATACTTATTTTATCTTTTTTTTTTTCTTTTTTTTTTTAGCATGGCTGTGAAATACGTGCTTTACTTGTTCTGGTCATTAGATATGCATTTAATGTAATTTTTTCAACTTTTGCTAAATTCAAATAGGTATTTCGTCCCCAGATAGTAACAGAGGAGTTTCTTCTCAACTATGGGACATTACTTGTGAGTAAAACCGTCTAAGTTAAATCTTGTTTACAAAAATACATATGCATAAAAATTTGGGAAATATTTCAATGTGATAAAGTTACATTAAATTTATAGATTGGACAGCGAACTTTATTTTGAATATAAAATTTAAGCTTTGATTATATTCAAAACTATATATTATCAGAAAATATTTTCTGTGTTGGGTCAAAGGGAAAATATGCTATTCTGTGTTCAAGTGTAGAGAAACTGCATATGTCTGATAAACTGAAAATTTCCTGTGTGCTGTAGAAAAGTTTAGCTCTAAACTACAAAGAATATTTCTAGACTTTTACGCTAGTATTATATGAGTAGAAATTAAAGCTAAATTATAATCTAATCTATATTTAAAATATTCTTTTATTTTGTCACCTTTTTTCTTCTTGCTGGTACTTTTTCACTGTATTTATTTGATAAAAAGCTGAGTATTGTAAGCCACAGAGCAAAGATATTTTTCTCGTATTAACATCTACAACCTATTTATGGTATTACCAATAGAAAACTAACTTTTTAACTGTTCCATAGGATAGTATAGCAAAAGTGAAGTAGTACTGTTGTAATGTAATTTCCTCATATGAAAACAGTTGTCTTCGCTAAATGAGAAAAAAGCGTATTCTTAAATTGTGTATCAGTTAAGCAAATAATTTTAAGTGCCTGGGTTTGTAAATGACAACTACTTCACCAATAGGACGAAGAAATGCTTCACCACAAACAGCTAGGTTAAAGTTCAGGTTCGCTTCTCTTTCTCCTTTGACTCTTGATTCCAGGAAAATATGTGTTTAATTTAGCGCTACTAAAAGATTTGTATAAAAATTACTATTAGAATGAAGAAAAAAATTTTAAAACTGTAGATTGCAAAGCCTTTTATCTCTTTGAAGCATGTGTAACTAGGCAGTAGATTTATTAATGATTTTGGATCAACCTTCTAGAAGGTGAAATTCTTCTGTCAACAATATAGATACAGCAGACAAGGTACAATGTAAGTTTTCTTTTGATGTTACTCCAGCTTGCTTGAACTACTGACTGAGGAAGTCAGGCCAGTTATACTGGTACAGCTTTCCTCTCAGATCACAGAGGAGGAGGTTACTCTACTGGATATTTCCTGCATCTTGTCCTTCTGTCTCCATCGAACAAGGCAATTCAGGAACTTACATATACTATTTTAATTTACACATGAAAAAGGGAGTGGTAGTATATCTGAAAAATGAATATCAAATATGAATCCATAATATGTAACTGTGTTATTATATGACTAATATAATTACTTCTGGAAGAGTAACTATACATTCTACCAGGCAACAGTCTGCTCTGGAATTTTTTGTTTAGCAACATTCCCACTGACATCTGTAAAGGGACATTCGATCATCAGCTTGTACTTTTTCAAAGTACTGTGTTATAATTGAGGCCTCTAAGACTTTAGTAAGTCAGTCTTTCAGTGGTTTGTTTTTCTTTGTTGTTTTTTTTCCTCCTTTATTCAAAAATCTTACTCTTAACAATAAGAAATGATTAGGAGTGGAAGGATGTGTGTTTGGTATGTGAAAGGAAAAGAGTAGCTATTTTCCTGTAACTGTTGTTCATTGAGAATTTTTTTTTCTTGCTGCTTTGAAGTTATTTCCATCATCACTGTAATTTTCAATAGTGTTGTGCAAAGAAGTTGAGAGGGAGTCAGGACAGTCCTTTCATGTTTTCAGCTGTGAATAGAAATACATGAAGGACATGCTCTGCCCCAAAGGCACAGCTAATAGTAGGCTCCTAGTGGAGTGCATAGGGCACAGACTCACCTGTAGCAGAATACACACACCATTCCTCTCCATTGCTTAAAAAACCCCAGATAGTTGGGGACTTTTGTATAAATAAATAATCTTGTGTTTCTAATATAAAATTAAGAAAATAAGTGTTAATAGATAGAACAATTTTTGCACCAACTATATTGATTTTTCAAAATTGGTCTTGAGACTATGGTTAGGTGTGAAACTGTCTTAAATGAGCAAACAAAAAAATTAACTGTCTTGCAAAACAATAAATTGTTCGAAAACAATTAATAGTAATCTTCTTCAAATGATCAGGAAGATAAAACAACTGGTTTTTTATAGAAGCGGTTGTTTTTTATGACTGCCTCTGTGATGCATTTAAGTTATGAAATATGTAGTTAGAAACTAACTGTATTTTTGATTAGAGAAGAATCCTTCAGATGTTCCTTACATACTGAGAAAAAGATAACCCATGTAGACACTTCTGCCAATTTAATATATAATAACAAAATTTTAATTGATAGTGAAATATAAAACAAGGGTAATTTTCTTAATGCTTTACATCATATATAAGTATATCTGTAAATAGATATGTGTGCAGATTGAAAATGAGAAAGATGTTTACCTGTGGTAAATTCTCTGTGTATTAAATACTGCACTAGTAAAAAAGAGCATACTATAAATTCTGCTGAGAATTTTTCCTTCTGTAGCAAATACTAATAACATCTTTTGCATCCCCCATGAAATAAACAGCTATGCATAGAAGTGAAAGATAAAGAGCGAAATCAAGAATGAAACGCAAAATAATGATGGGTCTGATTGTACAACATTTACTTAACCCAGATTATTAATATTTCATTGTTCCTGTTCTTCAAAATGTTGACTAATTTAGGGGATTTTTAATAGAAGGTTATGCATTTTTAAAAGTTCTCCTGTGTGTAACTGTATCTGTAGTGTGTATAGTATGTGCAAAGATCAAACCCATGGTGCAAATAACAGAAAATTGCATTTTCTGAAGGGTCTTTGGTCTTTCTAGTGAGTTATTTTAACAGCCATGTCCAAAGTAGTACAAAGTCTTCTAAGAAATTACAGGTTTTTGTTAACAATAAAGACATTTAATTACTGTCTATTTAGCTGGAAATGTTATCATGCCTGACATTAGTCAGAGTAATAGCGCTTACTGTACTCTATGTTTAAGTGTCCAGCAGCGTTACAGACTTGCAAAATTATAACAGCTAGATCATTAATGCTTTCAGTCTTTCATATGTTAATTATTATGACAGTGTTTCCTAATGTGGATGCGTTAACATTTTGTGTTTACGCAGTCCCTTAAAGAATTTTGTGTTGTAATTATTTGGTGATGACACCCTTAATTTTTGTTTTGAAAGTGTTTTAACATAAATGCTTCCTCTTCTGTAGAATTTTATCAGATCGATAGATTCAGGAGAAACAAACTTGGATGGAGCAGTAGGTAAGGTAACCTGTGACATTGCAGTACTTTTACATGCAGGCATTATAACTTGCATTTTATAAAGAAATATGATGATTTTTACCAATAGGACAACCTGCATCAGAAGAATTTATTAAGACCACTTTATCAACCTTTGAAGCAGTAACACAGCATCCTGCTTTTTTGACAATCCATCACTTGACTGTAAGTCTGGGAAGAAATTGAATAGTTGCAGGGTAACTGGCCTAATTCCATTGATAAACAGAATGTTTTGAAGATTTAGAAACTGTTTATAATATGGATTAAAATGTATTGTGGTTCTATTAGACAGGAAAAATTTTTATGTTTAATAGAGATGTAATTTTCAAAGAAGCAGTAAGGCGTTTAGACTCAGTTTACTATATTTAGTTGGGAAGGTAGAGGGAGAATGAGAAGGGCTTAAAGTTTAGAAATAGCTGTTCTTAAAATAATTTTAATGTAAATATAACACTTGATTCTATAACTCTTTCTTCAGCCTCAGAGCAAGTATGTTGCTATATATTAGTGAAAATTTCACCACTTCAGTTGTCATTAGGCTTTTAACATAGCTTGGAAAGACCACCTCTAAGGGTTGAAGATCCCATTCCATCAATACTCTTCCTGATGAGATCATCAACAGCAGTTCTCTGTGTGTGTGTTTTGTTTTTTTTTTATTTTTGTTTTTGTTTAACAGATTGGTTACTAAAAATTGCATTACAATTACCAAAGCCGCATACTGTAAGCTTCTTACATCACTAAGATTTGTTTTCTTTTAAGTTTTTGGTTAAATGATTTGCTATGAGCTAAGCTAGCTGAAGCCAGAACAGTTTTTGTGAAACAGTTGTCAGCAAATCAGGAGGTCAGAATGTTTGAAGTGCAGTGTTTGATAAATTGTTGTAACCTGTACCAATGTGTTTTTGTGCCTGAAATCCCAGCAAAAGTATAATACATCATGCTTACTGGGGTGACCATTTAATTCAAACTGAAATTTGTGTATTTGTATTGGAATTAGGTTAAGGGCACAGCTAATATAGCGCTCAAATCAAGAAAGATATTAGCAAATTGTAATACGTAAGAATGAGTAATCTTAGGGATTGTACTGGATAAGAATGAGTGATCTTAGAAATTAATTGTTTTTAGAAGTTGGAGCCTATTTGGTATGTGTGTTAGTTGACTATTTAGATTATAAAGTGTTAATAAGTGAAAATAATAAAATGAATCAAAAACATAGATTGGAATTTAAGTGTAATGTTTATTTTCATTAATGCTCACAAAAGCGTGATATTGAAGAAGATGGTCCTTATGCACAAAAATATAACCAATTAATAGTCAGAAGGGAAACAGTACAGAACTGAACAGTTCAATTTACAGTAATATGACAAATGATGTTCTAGAAAAGAAATGTATATGTAGGTGAGGTATGAATGCCTATTGGTATCTCCCTACATGCTTGTCAGCCTGCAAGTCACTGTATTATGACTATAATTCTAGAATCACCTCAATTTTTAAAAATAATTGTTTTACTTCTATGAGTTATCAGTGCACCTTATTGACAGAAATAGGTACCGTTTTTTTATAGAGGTCCATCAACATTGACAGAAATTGCAATACCTTGTGTCAGGACATTAAATAAAATTCCTCCAGCTGTTTAAACTTTAATTGTCTGGGGTTTTTTTCCCTGGAAAAAGTAGCACCAAGGAGACAGCTCCCCTTTAGAACTCTTCTTTCCCTGCTCTCATTCCCACAATCAGCAGAACGTTATATTGAAGACAGGGAATGACTATCCCAATCTGTTTTAAGTAACCCCTGGCTAGCAGTAGGTGAGTTGTATGTAAGTATCTAAATTTCTGGGGAACTGTTTACTTCATTAAGTATTTTGAAAGTTTTAGATGTTTATTTAGAAATCCATCTGAGCACATCAGTTAATCTTGTGTAGATAGAGATAAAACTTCCTGCATTGCTAGTCCGTGTAAATTTATCACACATACCAGTTTTGTAGAACAGTTTCACAGGTTTTGAATAGGTATGTATTGACATTTATTAACTAAAAATAATTATACTCTTGTTAATTAACAGCAATTTTTTTTTCTGAGAAAACTAAATCTATTACTTCACTCACTCATTTTCATAATTAAGAGTTTTTCCTAATTTAAAGGAGCCTTCCTGACACTGAGCAAGTAGCCATTTGGGCAAAAAAATAAAGTGGAGAAATTGCCTTGTATTTGGTATGTTAAATTCAAGAAATTGTCCACTGTAATTAATAATCTCTAACCATATCTGCCACTAGTGGTGCAAACATTAATTAGTTTAATACTATTTACGAAGTCTAGTGTGCTAATTATACTTGAATGTACAGCATACATTACTCTAGAGGAAAGTGGTACTTCATCTTCTAGGACGCATACAGAATATTTTTAGAATTGCTGTTACTCAAGGGATATCTTCTAATTGCTGCTCACTGAGCATGACTGGAATCTATGAATATAAATGCCAGCACCCAGTGGAACTTGATGCTTTTTTAAAAAGTTGGAACAAGACATGTTCGAGTTTCCAGATCAATATTTAAGTATAACAGTGGTTAATAAGAAACATTTTTACTGGAGAGAAATGTGTATCCTAGGCTGATCTCTGAAGCCTGGATTGTTCATTTAGACAAAGTTGGTTACAAACAGCATTTTATGCAGGGGGTGGGGGGAAGGCCAAAACCTTCTTGAGAGGATGCATTTTTTTCCACTACAACTGTGACATTGCTTTAAAGTCTCTAATTAGAAATTAAATGCATTGCTACTAAAGTTTAATGAATTTAGTGAAAAGTGAGGTTATATTAAGCAAGCAGAACAAATAAGTTGTTCAGTTCAGTTCTGGTTTTAGTTTAGCTGCAATGGAAATCGTGTAAGTTAGTAAGAATTTAAGAGCAACGTTTCAGGTTCTTTTCCACTTTGAGAAGAAAGGAATTGCTTGTTCTGGGGTTTAGTTCATGTTTGATTTGCTTTTGTATTTTTACCTTGAACTAAGAAAATGGAATAAACTGATTTTTTTGTGACAAAATGTCTGATTACCAGCAATCTGAAGTCAGTTGTTGAGGAGATTAATTTCTGTGAGGACTTACTGACTAACAGTAAGTGTGACTTGGCAAATTTTGACAAAACTTTAGATTTTCAGGTTCGCAGATATGATGATGAAAGCTGTCAAGAAGAGTCTCTATAGACTGGAGTGGAACATGAACCCCAGTTTCTTAAACTGACACAAGTCCAACTGCCTGTTTCCTTCACATACCTAAAATGTAAAAATATTTATTAAATTCAGATAATAGGCGTTAGAATAATACTTATTTTCAAATTTTGGTAAAGGTTTAGATATAATTAGTTGGAAGAATTATATGCTGACTGTATCATTTATATATTTATTTTCTCTTAAGTATATTTATTTGCCTGAAAAAAAGGATGTATGCTAATTCAGAGCACTTTGAGCAGTGATGAGCTTCATGATGGCAGGCAGTTCCTGTGGGAGTCCTTTCTATGCTCTAACTAGCTCCCAAAAGTGATCTGTGTGCTGCACGGATGATCTTTTACCTGAAGCATGAAAGTTCTTTTCTGGTTGAGGCAGAAGTTGTCAGCAGTGATTCTCCTCTTCAAGGTTTTAAAACTTATTTTTAAAAATCAGGCTAAAATAAAAGCACCCCGAACATGATGAGTTGCTTGATGAGAAGTCTACGGAAAAGCGGTGTGACATGGAGATCTACTGGTTGACAATATGAGAGTTATTTTTATCAAAGATGACAACACAAGGGTGTTAAACTTCTGCAAGTGCTTTTTCCTGCTCATCCTAGTCTTTTCTTGATTCAGCATCAGTGGTGTTCTTCATCCACAGGCTGTTCTGATCTAACCACTGACAACTTAATTTTGTCAGTGTAGGGTATGCCTATATGAATATATTGTAGAGTTTCTTCAGTCACTTTCCCTTTTCAAGTCGATTAAAATTCTACACCACATGTGGCTTTCTATCCATTAAGCTAACCCACATGATATGAGACTTTTTTGTGAAACCAGTTCTGTACTAATTGAGACATATTGAGTCAGTTGATCAGTGCTGTCTTTTCCCAGAAGTATGAAAAAAACCCAAAACAAAACGCCAAACCAACCTAGTTCCTCAATGAAGTTGTGAAGACTTTTTTAAAAAAAATGGCACAAATGTCATCCTTCTTCCTAATTCATTCTAACATGCAATAGATTGTTTTTTTTTTCTGTTACATTCTGAGAGATTACTGGCGATTATTAAAACATTGAGGAGCATGCTGTGCCTCCAGCAAATGCTTTAAGAAATTTGAAGGCAACATGATCTTAATTCCATGGTCACTTTCAGCAATAACTTTGTATGTAGAATTTTAATGAGAATAAATGTCAAGGTGATGTTGGATGTTGTGGGTCTTACACGTGACTGCAAAAAAAGGGTTTGGGAGTTGATGGTCTTTGCTTTGGTACGTTCTGCTTTGAATAGTGCATAAGGAGAAGATATTTGTCAGCAGTTCTAAGGTAAACGTATGCATGCTCAAAAGAACCAGATACAGCTAGAAAAATTCCTGGAAGTAAAGTAATGGCCTTAGTGACTTGTGAGTTTGGATAACATAGCTGTATGAATGGATGGTGCAGGTTTTCTTATGGAAGTTTAATTTTGGGGTCTGATTTTCACTTGAGAATGGTATGGTTCACAGATGCTGCTGGACCAGGCTTTAAGCCTGCTTGCTTTTTCTGTCTGCCCAGCATAATACCAAATGTCAAGACTTTGGCCTTAAGCACTGATTTGAAGAGCTCTGAAATGCAGTGTTAATTAATGGAGAGGGTTTTTTTAGGTCAGTAAAAAAACCCATATTAAGGTAAGTTCTGTGGCCTTGAGAAGAGTGTTAAGCTATCTATATAAACACAGCTTAAGTTATAGGGGATAATGGGTAAGTTTGGTTATATGCTAGTTCATTAATACATAATGGCTGCATATATATATGTCAAATAGTTGAATTCATCCTTGCTGACTAGCACGAGTGAATGGAAGTGTAGTTCTCCGTCATTCTTAGGGGATATCTCCCGCTAAATAGGGGTTTAGTCTGTTGGATCCCTCCAGTGTGAGCACATGCAGTGGTATAATTGCCTTTTAGTGGATACTTGTAGAGCTTAGACTTTGCTTGATGCGGTTAAGTAAATCTGAGGCAATGTTTCTTTGTTTTTGACAAAGCAGGCACATATATTTAGGGTGCATCCTTGTGTCTGACATCTCCTGAGCAGTGGAGACAAGCAGAGAAGGCCTGAAATGACAGTTTTCTATTTCAAGGCCCTCCTAGTAGCTGGTGAATGCTTAACTATTCTGAAACTGTGGCTTCTCTTTCTCTTTTGGGGGTTAAAGTAACTGTATGTTACTTTGCAGAAGAATTTCTATTAAAATTGTCCGTTGTTTTCAAAAGATCTGATTTTTGTAAGTATGAAAATACTGTAGAAAAGTGAGTACAGCTTTTGCTGGGTGCTCATACTTCACTAGGGGAGTTTTCCTTGCAGAAATCAGCGCACATCGTGGAGACATGTGCTCTGGTTTTGGATAGTGTACTTGAATTTCCCAAAAGTTTTTGATGAAGTTGTGCACCAAAGACTCTTCAAATCAATCAGTGGCTCTTCCCTCTTGCCCTCTGACAGATCAACTTTATGTAACTAGTTAAAATTTACTGAGTAAAGAATAAAAATCAGTTATAAAATATTTCGGTGTATTAAGAATGGTGCCTTACAGAGATCTGTGCAACATGTGTTGTTTATAACTAATCCAGAAAAGGAAATGAATAGAGTGGTGACAGAACTGACTGATCACTCTAAATTATTCATGGTAGTGGAAATTAAAACTGACAGAAGAGTTGCAGAAGGTTTCAAGATACTGAGTGAAAGGACAATAAAATGATATGCAATTTCATACTGATAAATGTCAAGCGACGCACACGGGGAAAATAATTCCAAATATGCATATGCAGTTTTGGGCTTTAAACTACCTGTAACTGTTCTGGAGGTCTTTTAGCATTGTTTTGCTGTGAAAATGATAGCTTTTTACTCAGCAATAATCAGAAAGACAACTAGAGTATTAGAAATGACTGGTAAAAGTTCAGACAAAAAAGAAGCAAACTTCACTATGCTGTGGTAAGTCCATGGTGCCCTCAAGCCTTGAATGCTCAATGCAGTTGTGGTCATTTACTCTCAATGGGAGTGAAGCTTAACAAGAAAACGTACAGCTTGATGATGCAAGGAGGAACTGAGTAGATAAGAACTTCAGCTTGGAAACAAAAGAGTTGAGAGTATAGAATTATGAATGGCATGGGAAAGATGAATTGGAAGTAATTATTCATGGTTTTCATAAAATGAGTGAGTATCAAGTTAGCTGCTTTAAAATAAACAAGGAAGTGCCTTTTCATAAGGTATAATTGGAGTGTGGAATTCAGTGCTGTAGATATTGCACATGCTAAAATTATAAATACATTTAAGATAAGATTGGACAAATATGTGGGAGAAAAGGTATTATTAAATGAAAAAACACGGCTACAGCATAAGCTTAGGAAGTTTCTTAAGAGTCACTTCAGAAACTAGAGTTGTGCTTCCTGCTTGGTCTATTTCTCCTACTCTTTTTCTACTCCTTTCCAGTTGTCAGAAAAAAGGATTAACAGGTTCGAGCTACGTTTTTGTTTGGTCCTCTACATATGTATTATAGCTGGTAGATGTGAAGGTAGTGTGTATGGAAGTTGCTAGTATTTCCTCGCTATTTTGGGTACTGATAACAGTATAGCTGTGGCAGCATAGCCTTTGAATGCCATCATTACAGAATTATACAGTGGTGGCTTTGTGCAGTTAGGGATTTATCCTGAACTGGATATCAGGCTATTTAGAAGACGGTAGAAACCCAAATATAGCTATGACTATGTTCAAACTATGTAGTCTGTTTAGGCTTAAAGAAGATTTTCCACATTTTTTTTGGTAAGCAATCTTAGTGCTAAAGACTGAGACACAAATATCTGACTACTTTCATGCATATATGGAGATTTGATTCCACGTAGATGTCAGCAGTTGTTCAGAAGAAGAATCTTTCTTTGAGTATTCTATTTGTTTCAAACACTCTAGAAAATGCCAAAATACTGGCACCATGCTTATGTATATGTAACTTACAGAACCTTCTGCAATTCACTGGTGAATGTATTAAAAATATTTTGTCTACTATTACACTTCAGTTTATTTCACCTCAGTAATTACTTGCTTAGTTCATATCTTGTTTACAAATTTATTACGCACTAGTAAAAAACAGTGACCCAAATGGCATGGATAGAAGACAAGGGTTGCAGAGTATCTGATTTAAGGTTCACGTACGATTTAATACTTCTCCCTTCGGCATGAGCATTCTGATATGCTCTTGCATTACAAAATATTTTCCATAGGATTAGTGCTTAATTTAGTTGATCTCCCTACCACACCAAACTGACATGAGGCAAACGCTTGCTATGTAGAATTCCATTCTAAACAGTTTGTTTGCCAAAATTGAGGTTCCTGTTATGAAAAGGTCAGAAAAAGCTACTATAGTTATTTAAGACTGAAAGTATGTACTTTACTTTGACAGTTTAAAATATATTTATCTTAGAAAAGACTTAAGTCTGGCTTAACGACATTCACTAATGTGGACAGTCTACTGTTAATGCTAGATGAAAGTGAAAGGAGATTTGAAGTTTTAGAAGTTGAAGTTGCATCATACTGCTGTATACTGCCATCTTAATTGGTATCAGTCTGAGTCAATGCTGCTGCTGAGTGATTCATAATGTTCCAGGTACCTACTTTGCTTCAGGCAATTGAGAGCTGCTTTTCTGCCTCTCTTCTGTCTCACACCTTGTATTTACCACCTAAATTTGCTTCTTCAGTTGAAAAACTAGGTTGTACTAGTTTTTTTGGACTGAAAGACCTTAAGTACAATTTTTTTTTTTTTTTAAATCCTATCTCAGAGATATGTTATAACTGGTAAATTACCATTTGTAGAACAGTTTAGAAACCTGCACTAAAAGCATTGTTGGAGTGCAGTGTAGTTTTATTATTTATCTTATTGCATATTAACTGAAAAGACCATGAAATATTTAAAAATTGTGAAGTGTTACAAAAGTGTCACAAAAAGTTACAAAAGATATATGGCATTATACATGTAGGCATAAAGGCTATTTGTACTTGTAAGAGTAGTTTGACTTCCATACCTCAGAGTCCTTTACCTCTTTTATTGAAAGTATGTAACAAAGGCATCTTTTGGTAGTTTTTTTTCAGAAGTGAAAAAAAGCTAGATTAAATGCATCCCTTAATGTCAGACACTCATTTAACAGAGACCACCAGCTAGCAATGAAATAGTTGCTAATTGTAGTTATTGTTGACTAGAGGCTAATTTCATTTAGTGACCCCTTTTCATGTATACTTTCAGCTTCTGTAGATGTTTCCTAACAGTAACTCCATAATCTAGAGAATTTCTGTCTTCTAATTCTGGTATTAATCATTAAAGGAAAATACATCAGGGATTATAGCACAGTCTTGTTTTGCCAAATCCTGTGCACAGTGTAATAAGAATCTACACAGTAATTTATTTGTATAAATAAATCCAAGGACAAGCTGTGTATCAGTGATGCATGCTTAAACATAGATGATAGTGTACCTCTGATGTGTTTTTTACCCTTGTGAATAATCTAAGCCAGATCTTTCTAATTCTCTGGTTTAGGTTGAAGACTGTATCCTCCCACCACTAGTTTCTTTGGTCCGCAGTCAGAATGGTAAGTATATGGCCACATCAACTACAGTTTCCATTAATTCCACATTTTGTTTTAATTAGACTTCATTGTGGTCACATTCTTGGCACCTTTATTTTCAAGTGGAATGGAGACTCATCAGCTTGCGGTTGATCTCAGAAACCACGTCGCTGCTTTTAAGCCACGAGGTCATGGCTGAGGAAAAAGGGGAGAGCCTCAACTCAAACAGCAAGCTTCTCTGTCTCATTAGAGATTCATTGTTGCCTCAGTAAGTATAATATTGCTCCTGTAATGGGGAATAACTTCATACTCAGTCCATTTTGACAGCATATTTGTTTCAACTACGTTTTCTATGTTTAAATGGCAAAAAGGAAAAGAGGAATAGCAATTAACTGCCACCAGAGTTCTCTGCTCATCTCCCTCCTAGGTTTATTTAGTACTTTGTCACATACAACACAACTACAACTGCCGTGTGATGATTGTTTCTGATACTGTGCCTCTGGCTACTCTTGGAGTGAAACAAGTTTCCCCTAGCTTTTGGGCTGCGATTGAAATACTCCTCTTTGTTCTAATAAAGTCAGATCATTCTAACAGCAACATCTTTTTGTCTATTTTAGATATTGTGCACTCATGTAAGATGTTCTGAAATCGTATGGAATGGCATGTAACTTTTTTAAAAGGAATAGTACAGGATGGATTAGTCCTCTGTGACACACCCAGGGGTTGTTTCCTTTAGATTGCTTTAAATTCTGCTGCCTCAAGAAGCAGAAAAAAAAAACCAAACCGACAGCAGAGTAAATGCAACTACACTGTGGGCCAGATGTGGCCTAGAACTTCATTTATATGGTTTATAGTCAAATGAGGCCTCAGGTGAGCATAAAGACAGCTCTGTTACGCACATACATACTGTGAGCTGATAATATCTGTGAGTAGAGGGAAGGAAAGCATGAACAAAAGATGAGTACAGTAATACTGAGTCATCATTTATATTTCACATTATTCTTAATAATGTTACAGTGTATTTTAATGTGTAGTCCTCAAAAGTTAATAGTTATAATTGCTCAGCTGCCCTACGTGTGAAAATTGTTAACCCACCCCTATATTAAGTGGCAAAAGGGAGGAGGAATGGATGCTAGATTATGATCAGAAACACAGTGACTTCCCCAAAAGTGAGACTGTCTCTCGCTAATTGACTAATGTTATTAAAATTTGAGGACCAAAGCTCTATCCATGCAAGATGTGTAGTCTTTTCACTGTGAGAGAGAATGGAAAGGAAGTCTTAGAGCTCTGTAGAGAAGCTTATTTTAACACCTTTCTTCATATGATTTTCTTTGGGAAATACACAATTTATCAATATGAATTAAAGTGGAAACTCAAAATATTATTTTGAAAATGGAGTGTATGCATTGTTAAAAGCTGTAAGATAATTTTCTTCAGATAGGGGAAGAGACCAAGTTCTGTCCTTGCTCTGAAACTTGCCCTTTGTAGATGTGCCTATCTTATGAAATATTTCTCATTGAACTGAGTGGGGGGTGTCATGCTAATTACAAACTAGAAGGAAAACAGGCAATATACTTCTGTCTCCAAGGTAATGTGCTCAATTGAGTGGCAGGGATGTTTGGTCTGAGACTAAATGTGATCCTCCTTTGGGGACTTCACCTGTGTTATCTGTGCATGCGTTGTCTTGTAGATGTATGAAAAAGGGTCTTGCAGTAGCTCAGAATCTTGGTTCCAGGCTCTCAGTATTTCTGGAATTGGTTTCTTTGTATCACCAGTAGAAATGATGATACTTGTATTTGGAAAACCATTTGAGATTATCTCAAGAAAATAAATATTGAAGTTTATGGTATTTGGAATATACTGGAACTTAATATTAAAAAAATACTCTAGTTTAGGAGCATATTAAAACAGTATTTAAATCTTCTACTGATTCAGAAAGAGTTAACTAGTGTCTGCATATTTAATACATTACTTGAACCTGTGGGTTGAACCAACCCCTAGTAAATATGATCACGTGTGGGGGAGCAGATAATCAGTGCTAGGAGGCACAGATGGAACAATAAGCAGAGGAGGGTTTGAGAATTCTTTGCAGAAGGGAAAACTCAAACTCAGTGTTGACTTGAAAGCCTCAAAACTGGATTTGGAGAATACTCAAAAAGAAGCTAAGGGAAGACCAAAGCAGCTGCTTTGGATGTCAAAAATGTAAGTCGTGAAAGGTAAGTTTTGTTCAGCAGTATTCTAGGTATGGATAATGACATATTGAAGTGAGGTAGGAATGAATCCTCATACACTCTACAGTTCTCAAAAGCTGCTTTGCCTGAATGCAAAGAGATCTGGCCTAAATCTAAAAAAAGGGAGGTCTAAGATTCAGTGTAACCTACTCGTAAAGATAACGTAAAGCTCTATCCCAAGAAGAGTTACTTGAAAACTGAGATAGTAAGTGAAGAGACAACTGGGTTGTATTTGAAGGCTGAAGAGGTGTTTGCTGATGTTGTTTAGTCTTTCTGTTGCTGGACAAAGGATGTGACAGAGTGTGACTGAATGTAAAACTGACCCAGGAAAGAGAATTTTGGTCACTATGTGTGAAATATAAATTATTTTATTTTTGA